TTCATTCATTCATTCATTCATTCATTCATTCATTCATTCATTCATTCATTCATTCAATTTATATAGCCACCCATCTCAGACCAGTGACTCGGGGCAGCCAACAATAATAAAAACGGTCAAACGCTTAAGACAATACAGAACATTAAATATAAATATAGCCAAGAGATTTTAAAGAACTGTCAGTATCAGCTCCAAAGTCATTTTTATTTGACTGTAAACATCATGGAGAGGGGTGTGATCAAAGCAGGGCAGGTCACCCAGCCCTGGCCAGTGCAACTGAGCACTCTGTGTTTGGTAAACACAGAGATGACTGGTTTACTTAAAGCATTCTTAGCCAGCTTTTCTCCTAAAAAGCTAACCAACATTAAACATGCAATGTCCGTTTAAAAGCAAGGGTTTTTTTCAGAAAAGGGAAGTGCTATATATGTATGTCCAACACTCTTAAAAGAGAGTTGCAGCGTGTGCATTTAAAGAAGCTTTTAGCTGTCCCAACAGGCAAAGTGATTTCGATTGGGACGGTCACCCCCAATGATAATTTGATATCTGCCAAAGAAATCCTCAAATCCTTTTGTACATCCAATGTCATACAAATATGCCATAATAGTACTGGAAGACACAATGATAAACCATTTTTTAAAAAGGTGGAGGTATTCACAAACATCCATTTCTAGGGCAGGATTAAGCATGTCTGTGATGGAATGGAATTATGAAGGCCAGGCTCAGGGAGAAAAACATTTTCTTAGCTCGCCAGAAGAGCGCGGGAGGAACAAGAGGATGAGACTGGCACCTCCCTGAGGAATTCACACTGTTGTGGCTGGAGGGCTTTGGGAACTGGGAAGATTGATGTCAGGCCTAGCCCAAGGAATGCCAAGAAACCATGCAAATCCAGTCCAGCTATGTTTATTAGCTACACCCTCTAGCAAGAATTTTCCCAGACCCAACCCCCAGTTCCCAAAGCCCTCCAGCCACAACAGTGTGAATTCCTCAGGGAGGTGCCAGTCTCATCCTCTTGTTCCTCCCGCGCTCTTCTGGGGAGCTAAGAAAAGGTTTATCTCCCTGAGCCTGGCCTTCACAATTCCAT